AAACCCTGAACCCCTAAACCCCTAAACCCTAAACCTTAAACCCAAAACCCTAAGCCCTAAACTGGCCCTAAACCCTACACCTTAAACCTCAGCCTCTAAGCCCCTAGACTCCTAAACCTGTTAAAACCGAGGCATCTCGGAGCTCATCGGGGCCGTGCAGAACTTCGCGGGTCCAATCAGCGGCTTCCACTTTGCGAGGCCGACGTTTTTGTTTTTGAGGGTTTAGGGTTTAGGGTTCAGGGTTTAGTGTTTAGGGTTTAGAGCTTAGGGTTTAGGGTTTGGGCTTCGTAGGGTTTAGGGTTTCCGGGGCTCTACCCTGGACCTAAGGTTATACCCTTCCATTGGGGGACCCGTGTTTAAGGTCTTCCCAAAGAACATAAGAGCCATACTAGGAGTAGATTAAGGGAAACGTTTCGGGGTACAACCTTAGGGGTAAGAATATAACACCCATGTTCGGAGTGTATCGAGGGGACCTCTTAGGGTGCATGCTTAGACTCGATTCAGCAAGAAAGCCAGAAGCTGCTGGCCCCAAAACAAGCCCCGGAGAGATCCTCGGCTTGTACTGGCGTGCTAGTGAAAGGCGGCTACCCTAAACCCTAAGCCCCATAAGCGATAGCCCTAAACCCTAAGCCTAAACCCTAAACCCTAGAAGCCCCTTCACCTTTGCCCCTCTCAAGCCGAAGCCCCTCGAAGCAGGACCCAGACATCGGGTCTCGGGGACTTACTTAGCCCATGGTTGAGGTCTAGACTCAGGCAGCCCGCCCCAATCCCAAAAGCCTAGACTCAGGGTTAGGGTGTAGGGTTTAAGGTTTAGGGTTTTGGGTTCAGAACACGACTTATTGGTAGCCCAGTGGTGCCCTTTTCTTTTTTTTGTAGTAACCCCAAAAAAGGGTGCTCTCATAAGAATACGGTTTGCTGGGCTACTAAGTGTGAGGGCTTCCTGATTTAGTAGGAATCATAAAGCTTGACCTGTTTTTTCGTTTGGTTCTTGGAGAAGTCGAGAAGTGTGGGGAGGGTCTAGGCTTCGGGTTATTGTTGGAGGAGTCACAAGGCTGGCTCTACACTACGCTCCACATTCGGAAAGTCGGGTTTACAACTTGACGTGCTTAGGCTTTAGAACCATCAGCCCTAAACCCTAAACCCTAAACCCTAAACCCTAGGGGTTCAGGGTTCGGAAGGATGAGAAGCCACAACGCCCACCAAGGGTTTGACGGTCACCAGCTTTGGGCCGGGGCTTGGGGACTTCTAGAAGGTTGAGCTTACAACGTTTTAGGGTTTAGGGTTTAGGGTTATGTGCTTTGTCAACAAGGCCCCCCTTAGGACACGAAGCGTAGGTACAGGGGGCTTGAGGACCCATTTTCAGCCATTTCTGCGCTTATGGCTCTTTGGAAGAACAGAACGTCTGAACACGAGGCGCATCCACCAGAAAGGCCCTCTTGCCCTAAACCTTAAGCACTAAACCATCAACCCTAAACCCTAAACCCTCAGCCCTAAGCCCTAACCCAGATTCCTCGTAGGGCCCTAAACCCTAAGCACTAAACCCTAAACCCTAAACCCTCTGCCCTAAGCCCTAACCCAAAGTCCTACAGCCCCTTACGCAGAAACAAGACCCCACCCTCCGCAGGCAGGGCTGGGCCATTGAGCAAGAGCCATGGGCGGAAGTCAGGGTCTAGGGTTTAGGGTTTAGGGTTACTCGGTAGGGTTTAGGGTTACTTACCCCCCCACCCCCCCACCCTAATTTTCAACCCCCCCCTACTCCCTAACATTGAAAAGTCCCATGAAAGTCACATTAGAGTACCATATGGGGGGGGGGGGGTATTTCACATTAGGGGGGGGGGGGGCGAATATTAGGGTGAGGGGATTAACTCCTTTAGACAGCCTGCAGGCGTGCAAGAAAGGTCTTATCGGTTTCCAGTCAGGGCCTCGGGGTTTGCAGGGTTCATGAGGCTCACGGCTCACGGGGTTTACAGGGCTTACAGATCCCAAACTCTTTTTGCCTACAGCTCTTGCGCGAAAAATGTCTCGTGATTCCTTGGCAAGACTGCGAATTAATGACGATCAGAGAAGTCCAAACGAAGCAACATCAATCCTATCCCCTCCCGAGCAGCCCTAGCGTTAAACCCTCATCCAAACCCCCTAAAGCCCTAAACCCCAAACCCGAAACTCTAGTGTAGGGGCTGCTTCTGGGGGGGGAGTGGGTGATGGGAACCTCAACACCCAGACCAAAATCCTACACCGCCTACACCCTAACACCGACCCAAGCCTTAAACTTTCAACCCTTCTGAACCTAAGCCCTATACACCCCAAACCCTAAACCCTGAGGAGTACCTTCCTTGTTTAGCATGCCTCTCCGAATGCATCAAGCACCCGAAGTGGGCTAGCTGACCCAAACCCTCGAACTTAACCATCGATGTATCTCAGGAAGGGTATGCCGCCTGCAATCCCATGCAGGTCGGTTTCGCGAGGGCGCTCCTTGACAATTAGGGTTTGGGGTTTAGGGTTTGGCATTTATAGGTTTAGGGTCTTGGCTTGGGGGGTAGTGGGAACACCCAACAGAAAAACCCCCAACAGCTAGACCATAAACCCAACCATGCTGTTTACCAGGGCTTCGCAAGCGTTCTGGCCACCAGCTTCTTACAGGTTTGGCCTCGAATAGTGTGTGATTTCACGCTGTCATCAGTGAGATTTGTCTTGGTTGGCCATTCTCGCAGGCCTTCTAGCAACCTCCAAATCCCTGGTTCAACCCCAAGAACCAGGACGGAAAAAAAGGGTTCCGAGGGCAATCTCGCTTTGTGAGATCAGGGCCCTAAAGCCCTGTAAACCCGAAGTTCCTAAACCCTGAACTCGCAAACCCTAAATCCTAAACTCCTATGCCATAAACTCCTAAACCCTGAGGGCACTTTTCCTTGAGAGCTCTTGTGTTGGATTGTGTGGAGGCTCTTTCTCCCCCACTCTCAAAAAATCGCCACACCCCTCAAAAAACTCAAAACAAGCCGCTGTTCGACACAGTTTATGGGTCATGGTTTCAGGGTGTGTGTGTGTGTGTGAGAGAGAGAGAGATAGAGTGAGTGTTTGTGTGTGTGTGTGTGCTTTTGATGCTTAGGTCTTTGAGGAACTATGCAGTTTTGGGACGCATGCAGCAACCCTGAGCGCCTTACATCCTCAAAAAACAATAGGGTTTCGGGTTTAGGGTTTAGGCAGAACAAAGCGGGTGTTATTTCTAGACTTCAGACCCCAAAGTAGGTGACACGAGCTCTAAACCCTAAACCCTAAACCCTAAACCCTAAACCCCAAACCCTAAACCCTAAACCCCAAACCCTACTTCGCTGCAAGTTGTGACCGAGGTTCTGCGACATCCACTGTGTCAGGGATGCGGTGATCAGGGGCGACCGGTCGATCATTCGCCGCTGGGCTGCCCGTGACTGCCTTTTGTGGTTTTGGGTTTGTTTTAGGGTTTTTAGGGTTTCTGAGGGTGTGTGTGTTAGGGTTTTTTGGGTTTTTGTTTAGGGGTTTTTGGGGCCTTTTGTGGTTTGGGGTCTTTTAGGGTTTTTAAGGGTTTCGTTGGGTGGGGTGTGGTTTAGGCTTTTTGGGGGGTTTTTTGTTAAGGCTTTTGGGGGGTTTTATAGGGCTTTAGGGCGTTTAGAGTTTGCAGGGTTTTTAGGGTTTGCAGGGTTTAGGGCTTAGGGTTCGGGGACCAAATTAAGGTTTAGGGTTTGGGGACCAAAACAGCCATAAACGAGCATAATCATGTACCCTAAAAAGTGGCGACAGTAGTACATGGTTTGATGATCCCAATTTTTCAGGCATTTGGTACCCAAGCTGGCAAGGGTTGAGGGTTCTAAGGGTTTCGGAGGGGGCTTCAGGATTTGGAGTTCTTGGGCGTTTAGTGGGGGGGGGGGGGGGGGGGGGGTTTTGCGGATTTAGGGTTCGAGGATTCTAGGGGTTTGAGGGGGGGGGGGGGGGGGTTTGGGGGTTTTTAGGGCGTTGGGGCTTAGGTTTTTCTGGTCTTAGGGTGCGCAGTCGGGTTGTAGATCAGTAGAAGGGGTTCTGCAAAAGCGAAGTGAAAATCACTCCAAGTCCAAGGCGCCAAACCAAGTCCGCACTGTAGCGCTTCGCTTCAAAAGGACGAAACAGCATCTTAAGCCCCTAAGCAACCCTGAAATCCCTAAAGCTCTCTGGCCCAAACCCCGAAAAAGAAAGCCCAACCCGAAAAGCCGTAAACCCCTTAAATCCACTCCACTCGACCCCCAAGCCCACATCCCCCCCCCACCCCCCGCCAAAAAAAAAAAACACCCAGAGCTCTCTTTCTTCGGCCCTTCCAAGGCAACCTCGAGCTTGCTACGAAGAAGACCAACAACAACATGAAGGTTCCGGGGTGTTCGGGTTCATCAGGGTTCGAGGGTGAACAGGGTTTTCGGGGTTTGCAGGGTTGTAGGGCTTATGGGGTTTATAGGGTTCACGGGGTTTGCAGGGTTTTTAGGGTTTATAGGGTTTACAGGGTAAATAGGGTTTGTAGGGTTTACAGGGGTAAAGGGTTTGTAGAGTTTATACTGTTTCCAGGGTTTTGGGGTTTATAGGGTTCTAGGGTTTATAGGGTTTAGGCTTTTTTTGTTTAGTTATAGGCCTTAGGGGTGAGGTTTAGGGGTTTAGGGTTTTGGCGGTTTTTGGTATTCCCAGGTACAGCAGTCTTCTTCAACCCAGGGTTGTAGTTAAGATGCAGTCTTTGCTGGAGAGGAGCATCCTACCGCCCTAAACCCTAAACCCTGGACTTGGACCCTAAACCCTAAACTCCAGCTCGCAAGGCTTCAGGTGCTGCGGCACACTAAAATTCTGTGGTTCTTAGTAGGGAATGGGGGGGGGGGGGAATCAAGTATAATACCTTAAAGGGTATATATACGGGGATAAAGAGAACCAGCAAGATTTTCGGGGCCAAAAAACCCTAAACCCTAAACCCCAAACCCAAACAAACCCAGAACCCGCCTCGGAGCTCTTCCCCGAAGGCATTGGTCAAGTGGAACGCAGATGCTGCTCGGGTAGACATTGGTTGGATTGGCGAGAAGCTGGACTACATGCATGCGATCAACACCGCCTACATGCAAGAGATCAAGGTGACTTGACCGCAATATTTTGCTACAGAGTGGCGCTAACGATCAAAGTGGAACCAAGCCCCAAACCCATAAAAGCCTAAACCCTAAACCCTAACGTCCTAGAAGAACTGAACGTGCTGGGTGAGGATGTGGTCAGTGGTGCATCCGGTGCGGAGGACCTCTTGCAAGGAACGCAGGCAGCTACGGATTCCCTGCTGCTGGGCACTCTGAGTTTGGCTTCTTCTGCAAGTTCCTATAGGCTTCAGGGTCTTAGGGCTCAAAGGCATATAGGCCCAAACCCTACTCTCCTGAACCCGAAGAACCTGTGGCCGTGGTATGAGGGGGGGGAGGGTCAGGTGAGACATGCTGCTCTAGATCCATACTGCACTGAACTCCAAGCCTGAAACCTCCAACTCCAAGCCCGAGACTTCAACAAACCCGAACCACAAACTCCAATTCTCGCATGCTTCACCCTAAACCCTAAACCCTGAACCCCAAACCCCAATCCCCAAACCCTAAACCCTAAACCCTAAACCCTAAACCCTAAACCCTAAACCCTAAACCCTAAACCCTAAACCCTAAACCCTGAACCCTAAACCCTAAACCCTAAACCCTAAACCCTACCTTCCAACAGCAAGTCAAAGCCCAGGTTCTCAGAGCTCGCGGGTTACGCGCAGGCCGCCTCCTTCGACGAGCTCTCCCGCATCACGGCCAAGGGGGCCCTGGAGGAGTCTCAGCTGAAGCAGGGGGGCAGGGGGCTGGTTTAGGGTTTAGGGATTTAGGGGTGTAGGGCTTAGGGTTTAGGGGTTTAGGGTTTAGGGGTTTTGGGGTTTAGGGTTTAGGGTTTATAGGGTTTAATTAGCGTTTAGGGGTTTCCCGTTCAGGGTAGGGCTTTCGGGGCGCCTTTGAAAGTGTGCACGAAAGACCCACATGTGCATGTTTACATAGTATGCATACACATGTATGCACATACCTGTGTATATACACACATCTACAATCTACAAGCACGCATACATGTACTTTTATTTGTATATGCAATGTATTTTGTGTATATCGAAACAACGTGCACGCCGCACAGAGGCCCTGAAGCAGCACGAGGCCGAGGACACACTAACTGTGTAGGTCATTGTGCAATGATGCACTAGTGACACTAGTGGCCTTGACGCGCAGCCCTTTAAACCCTAAACCCCAAACCCTATAAACCCTAATAACCCGAAACCTTCTGAATCCCAACACCCAAAAAAACCTAAACCCGATAAACCCCAAAAATCCGAAAACCATTAACCGGATCCTAGGTAGGATTGGGGGGGCCCTCAGCAGGGAACCCTTCTCAACCCTCTTCGGGCTCTCTTAAGCAGGGACCGTATTTGAGAGGGTCTATATCCCCAAGGGCCCCCATAATCCTATCCCCTACCGGAGGAGATGCAGAGGCGCAGGCGCAGCCCTTTTGAGAAGTGTAGGCGCATGGCCAGGGCGCGCGTTGGGAAGCGAAGGCGTTGAACCTCCCAGCCTTTAAACATGAGGCCCCAAACCCTGTGCATGTGTGTCTATTTATGAATATGTGTACACCAAACCCTAAAACCGTTGTGAAAACCCTAAACCCTAAATCCTAAACCCTAAACCCTAAAACCTGTGCATGTGTAGATATCTTTGAGCAACAGAAACACCCTGGTGTCCCCTCAGCCCCCCCCGGCCGATCCAGCAAAGAGAAGAAGCCCAGGATTTCCTCCAGTCCCCGGACTTTGCGTCCCAGACTCTCGGCTTTTGAGGGTTTAGGGGGTCTAGGGTTTAGGGTTTGGAGGGTTTAGTTTTCAGGGTTTTGAGGGTTTTTGTTTTCAGGGTTTTGAGGTTCAGTGTTGAGGGAAATTGGGTATAGGGGTTCGACTAAGGGTTTCGAGACTTTCGATTCTGAGGAGGTTGGGTTGGGTTATTCTTCTAAGTTATGTTGACTACATGTGGATTTTTGTTTCGGCAAGGCTTCCAGTCTCGAAATTGTGTGCCTGCAAGCATATTGAGACTCCAAACCCTGACACCCCAAACCCTAAGTTTTCAGGGTTTAGGGTTTAGGGTTTAGGGTTTAGGGTGGCTAAGTTTTGAACTTTAAACTACAAGGGTTTCCTTGTTTAATAGGAACAAAGAATGCGTGACCATCTTGCCCTTTGTTGTTGGAGAAGTATGCCGAAGCCCGGAGTCCCCCCACAAAAAACAAGGGAGAACCGAGGAAGGACGCCAATGCCACCACTGCCACCGCACTCCTTGGACGTTTGGAAGCGCCTGGACATTCTTGCGGCTTCGTTTTCAGTTTTGCCGGGAATACACCGGGCTTCTTCGAATAGCCACAAATTCTGTAACCCAGCTGTGCAACGCAAGATCCTAGGTAGGATAAGGGGGACCCCTCAAAAGGGAACCCCTTCTGAACCCCCTCTTCTGGCTCTCTTAAGCAGGGACCTTATTCAGAGGGTCCATATCCCCAAGGGTCCCCCTTATCCTATCCCCTACAAGAGACAAGACAAAGCTCATCAAGTTCCGTTTCGTTCCATTCTGTCGTTCCGTTCCGAGGGCTTTCCGGTGGCAAATGGCCCCGCCTCCAGAGACAGAAACCCAACCCTTCGGCTGTTGGGAACTACCGCAGATAGGTCCCTAAACCCTAAACCCTAAACCCGAAACCCTAAACCCTAAACCCTAAACCCTAAACCCGAAACCCTAAACCCTAAACCCTAAACCCTAAACCCTAAACCCTAAACCCTAAACCCTAAACCCTAAACCCTAAACCCTAAACCCTAAACCCTAAGTTAAGTAGGGACCTTTTCCGGGGGTGCCAGAGATCGCGAGGCGCTGCATCAGACGCTGAAGCGCGCCGGGCGGGGCCGAGACAAGAGCGAGATGCTGAGCCGCCAGGTGGGTTTAGAGTTTAGGGTTTAGGGTTTGGGGTTTGGGGTTTGGGGTTTGGGGTTTAGGGTTTGGGGGTTTAGGGTTTGGGGTTTGGGGTTTAGGGTTTAGGGTTTAGGGTTTAAGGTTTAGGGTTTAGGGTTTAGGGCTTAGGGTTTGGGGTTTAGCGCTTAGGGTTTGGGGTTTGGGGTTTAGGGTTTGGGGGTTTGGGGATAGGGTTTGGGGTTTAGGGCTTTGGGCTTAAGGTTTAGGGCTTAGGGTTTGGGGTTTAGGGCTTAGGGTTTGGGGTTTGGGGTTTAGGGTTTAGGGTTTGGGGGTTTGGGGATAGGGTTTGGGGTTTAGGGCTTTGGGCTTAAGGTTTGGGGTGTAGGGTTTAGGGTTTAGGGTTTTAGGGACCCTGTAGCTGGAGCAGCCTCTCGGTACAGCTGGTTGGGGTTTCAAGGTTCAGGGTTCCGCTGTTTAGTGTGCCTAAGGAATGCCAGGTCTAATATCGCAAAGAAGCGCCTCAGCACAAGGGCATATCAAGAGGGTTTAGGGTTCAGGGTTTAGGGTTCAGGGCATCGACTTTGGCCACCCCACAGTTGATGATCCAGGCGCAAGAATATCCACGAAACCCTCAGTTCCTTAAGCCCTGAAGCCCAAATCCAAGCCCAAATCCTTAACTTAACACCTAAACCCCCAATCCCTAAAACCCTAAACCCCAAAGCCCTCGCCCCAAACCCTAAAGTTGTGTTTGGGCGTTGCAAGCTTGAACAGTGGGTTTGCAGGGTGTAGAAGTACTTGCTGAGCTCTGTCAGCTGCGAACCAACCTTGAAAATCATTTTAATTGACCTGGAACCCTGATGACACCATATTTCGGGGATGGCTGCAGGGCAGAATGCTGTAGTGTTGGCTTCAAGAAGAGTGCTATGGCACGGGTCTTCGGTCTTCGGAGAATCCCTCAACTTTCAAGCAGACAACCCAGCGGGTTTCCTACAAAATGCCGGAGGCACATGGGTAGTAGAACGTGCTGTAGCTTATGACATGCCTTGGGTACCCGCAACCCCATACCCTGCACCCAACACCCTAAACCCTACCAATGGCTGCCCATGAGTCTCCAAAAGCCCTAAGCCCTAAGCCCTAAACCCTCAACCCTAAAGGGGGGGGGGGAGCGCTTCCCAACGACCAGGTGGCGCAGAGCGTGCGGCACTTGCAGCGGCAGGCATCAGGAAGTGAAGGATTGAAAACGAAGCCCCAAATCCTAAGACCCCTAAGATTTCAAACCCTAAACCCTAAACCCTAAACCCTAAACCCTAAACCCTACAACCCTACAACCCTACAAGCCCTAAGCCATAAGCGACCTAAACCCGGGAAAGCCCCCAAGGATCCTATCAGAATCCCCTATAAAACCTGGGGCTTAGGGCTTAGGGTTTAGGGCTTAGGGTTTAGGGTTTAGGGTTTAGGGCTTAGGGTTTAGGGCTTAGGGTTTAGGGCTTAGGGTTTAGGGCTTAGGGCTTAGGGCTTAGGGCTTAGGGCTTAGGGTTTAGGGCTTAGGGCTTAGGGCTTAGGGGCTTAGGGCTTAGGGCTTACGGTTTAGGGTTTTCGGCTTATCAGGGTTTAGGGCTTAGGGCTTAGGGCGTTTCGCGTTTCGCGTTTCCCCTTCCAATTTTCGAAAGAGAGCGGATCGCAAGATTTCACTCCCGTAGAGATGGGGCCTGCGGGTTTAGGGTTTAGGGTTTAGGGTTTAGGGTTTAGGGTTTAGGGTTTAGGGTTTAGGGTTTAGGGTTTAGGGTTTAGGGTTTAGGGTTTAGGGGCGCCTAAACCGGTAGAATCGAGGCAGTGTGAGCAAAGCGAAGCTCCTTTCGGAGTGTCTTCGCCTAGGCGGGCCGCCCCAGGAATCCCTTGTTTCGCCACTGTAGTTGAAATGGGGGAGGGGAGGCAGTTGATCATCGAGAAGCGAAAGGCGGTGACGGGCGAAGACAACACCCCGAAGGGGTTGGGCTCGATGACGAGGGACCCTAAACCCTAAACCCGAAACCCTAATCCCTAAACCCTAAACCCTAAACCCTAAACCCTAAACCCTAAACCCTAAACCCTAAACCCTAAACCCTAAACCCTAAACCCTAAACCTTAACCCGGGAGCGGACATACCGGACAATTCGACAAAAGGCCATCTCCTCCTTCTCATTCGCGACGCGACCACGGGAAGGCAACCTCTGTTGTGGCATTCGGGCGACACAAGGGGAAGCTATTCCAGGAAGTGCCGACGTCACACTTAGATTGGAGCATCAAAGAGGTGGCGGCCCGCGGCCGCGACAGCTGCAACCAAGATTTAGTGAATCTCAG